GTATGAGAGAGAGGAGAGAATCAACACTCTGGCACTTCATGAGTCAGGACTATTTACTGCAATAAATTTGAGCTATGATGCACTATATCAGAAAGGATGTACATAAACCTAATTATCATGGTAATTTGACACTTCAATAAACATATTTTAACTGCTCAATTGACATCGACCATATAATTTATTGCAAACAAAAGACTGGACATTCCATATATCATGCTTAGAAATTCATAATTATTATCACTTGCCTCTAGGCCTAAAAAAAATGTTGTGGTTCCGATTAACAGACCAACCCTTGAATTCTGGTGCCGACCCTAGTTTTTTTAAGAGGTATGAGTAAAATAAGCTTTCAGATACCATTGTTTGTTCCTGTTTCGCCAACGGCCATCGGTCATTCTGATAGAAAAAGTTGACATGATTGTCGCAAGCTTCACTGAATAAACAATTACATATTGAAAAATGTGTTATTAGTTCGTACTATACTTATAAAATAAAAATGTAAAAAAAAAATTCCTCCCTACCTACCCTAAATTTTAAAGAGGTGTAATCGGAACCACATTTTTTTTGTATTTTGCCCTACAAAGGTGGATCATTAACTTCCTGATGGTTTGGTTTCAACATGTTGAACTAATTGTTTGCTTAGAAGTATACCCATTTTGTATTTTTTTTGTTGGCAGTGGAAATGTTTTTAAGGATTTTTTCAATTTCAGTTCTTAATAAAACATAATAACAATTAATTTTCCTAAAATCAAATTATTTAAAAAATCATGTACAATAGACTGTAACTGAATAACTCTGAAACAAATATGAATATGTGTTCACTGAATCACATTTCAAAATAAGAAGTTACCTATTCAAAACAAAATCTGTCTCAAAAGACTCAGCATTAAAAACAATATGAATGCGTGAAGAATTCATAAATTTGATAAATACCTATGAATTCATGAAACGTTTTGTGTTACTAATGAAAATTAACATATTGTTGAATGCTGCTCAGTATTCAGTTTGCTAGAAATAGTTTAGGAAAAAACTTTCTTCTTAAAATACCCTCACCTCCCATCAACATACCACATACAAATATATCAGATGCTCTCTTAATGGCAGAATTTTTTTCTGGTCAAGAAATCACTTTAAACACTGATGATCCTTTTACAATTGATTATTCTGTTAATATTTTTTTAGCTTTTATATTTTACCATTAAAATGTTGAAATATATTGGGACAAACAACATAAACAACAACGAAAACAATTCGAACATAAATCAAGTCAATTTGTGTGCACAACATGCCAGACATCAATCCCGGATGGGACTCAATCCAAAAAAAGTACTAGAATCTCTACTTTACTAAGAAAGTGTAATCCCAAATATGACATATGTTATAACATTAATAGCCAAAACAACATACAGTCTCCTGTAAAGACGGGAATATATTCTGAACTGCGGCAGGAAAACAATAAATGGAGGAACTACTACTTTATTACAGTGGGAGTGACAGTGGGTGGAGTTTCTAACACCGTTATAAAGTAAGTGAAACCTCACTCCCACTGTAATAAAGAAGTCATTCATTCATGTATTGTTGTCTTCCCTTAGTGCTCCCAACTTCTAAATGCCTCAAAGAAGTCATTCTGATCTGAGCCAAGATCACAGCTTGAAGGATTACCTCCCACATTGTATTACACCTCCGCAACTGCACTGTACAAGGTGACAGCTGGGGATAATGACCAGCAAATGACTCTAGCAGATGCTGCATTTTAATTTATAAAGATAAAAAAAGAAATAAAAAATCTCATATTTAATGATAAATATCTTAAACTTCAAATCCGCACATCAAGATTTTTAAATAATCTTATCTATACTATTTATTTATTTAATTTTATTTAGTATTTTTATTTATGTTATCACTAGCATGTATGTGTATCATGCTCTGTGGTTCCAAAGTTCACTATAGGGAATCATCATCATCATCATCATCGGGGATATTTTTTAAAGCACACTTCCAAGAATGGAACAAATCAAGCGTACAGCATGACATGGGAATGTTGAGAAAGGGAAGGGGACATGGGAATTTTGCACCAAGGGTCAAGACCACGGTTTAACGTGACACAGAAATGTGCAGCCAGCTGAGCACCTTTAGAATACAGCACCACAACTTCTCGTGAGGACGATCTCTGCCGTAGGTCACATGCCATTAAGACAAGCAACCAGTTTGTGAGAACCCGTCGGACGCGAACCCACGACCTTCGGATTGTTAGCTCGACAGCTAACCGACTGAGCTACGTCCACACTGTTGCGCAATGTGCAAATTTATCGAGTCATTCCTGTGACGTCACGGGAATGAACGGAAAGAGTCGAATAGGTCACGGACAATTACGAATGCTACGGGTAGACTTGGTGTCGCGTGATTTTATTCTTCGGACAATTGCCGAATGGATCCGATGCCATTTGGCACACTCGTCCCCATTCCGTAATCTACAAATTAACGCGTGGCGTGGAATGAGCCGATATGCCTCAAACTGAAAAGGGTTGTTGACGCCAGGCGTCAGGCGTAGATTTCACGCGGTGCATGCATGAATGACGCTTTTTATATAAATCGGTGATTTTGTGACAGAAAAGTGATGTAGGGAACACTGTAAGGATAATGTGGATCGCACTAAGGAACGAGGGAGACATGAGCATGTGCAGTGACGGCACGAGGGTGAGTTAGCCTTCGAATCATTACTGAACAAAATTTATGTTGCGTGTGAAATAGGCTTGAGTGCAAATTCCAGGCCAATTTCCATTAGCCCAAAATTTCTACATTAACCCATTTCATAATGTACTTTCGACGTTTTTGGTTTCCCGTTTTTGTGTGAAAAAAAAGTATTAAAATGCAAAAAAGAAAAACAACAAATGGTACTCACGTATTACACCTGACATGTACCTGCTATATTGGATTAGGTCCCTAACCCTAACCCCTAAACCCTAAACCCTGAGCCCTAACCCTAACCCCTTGAAATAATCCTAATAAATAGAATGCATTGACCGAACCACCGGACATGTACCTACTATATTGCATTAGGGCCCTAACCCTAGCCCTAACCCTAACCCCAATCCCTTGAATTAATCCTAATAAATAGAATGCACTGACCGAACCGGCACAAACACGACCCTAACCCTAACCCTAACCCCAATCCCTTGAATTAATCCTAATAAATAGAATGCACTGACCGAACCGGCACAAACACGACTGACGTGTCTAGTGTAATGCATTATTACCGCTTCGAAAAATAAAATACTAATAAAACACTTTTCTATGTAATGGTGCAAATTACTGAATGACAAAAATATATATGTAAATTTAAAAAATTACAAAATACAAAATACACAAAACATAACACCTCAGCAGCCCGCAATACAAATAAATATATGAGCGTATTAGTGAAAAAGAAAAATATTTCAAACTGGTGCTTGCAAAATATTAGCATCCGCGGTATACAACTACTGGAAACTCTCAACATCGTTGGGCTTATGCAATGACATAGCTCGTAGAAATGAAACACCAGTGAGCGGAGCTTAAACGCACTCGCTGAGCCAGACAACCGTGTTGCCATGCAGGCGTCATAGGGCATTGTATCGAGAACGTGCTTTCGAACAAAATCACATTACATTACGTAAAAGGGTATTATGACGTATTTTTAAAGTTTGTGGTGCTGTATTCTAAAGGTAGGCCAATATAGAATGGCCCTAGACCAGAAAAGATAGTGCACCCAAAGGGGCGCACAATTATCACATTCATCGTACCAAATTTGTGACAAGAAATATAAAGGTCCAGAAATTAAATATATCTAATCTCGGAGTACTGTATGCTGCACCATTTCTTCAGGACCCACATATTTCCTGTAAGAACCTTTGAACTTACAAAATTGGAAGGGATGGCTTTCGATACAGATCACAGAGATTGATTATCATTAACTGAACATTGATTGATTATTGATAAATATCGGTTAAGTAACTGAGCAAATATGCCAAAAAGAAACTAACATATTCCACATGACTGCTGAGTGTCGCAAGTTTATACATGGATTCATAACAACAGTATCCTGAACATAATTTAGAAGCAGTCCACGAATAAAACCTAAACTGTATATTGTGTGAGTACATTAAAACTACATTACATCACTATAGTTTATGTGCAAAATCATTGATGACACAATTTTCAAATCAATCATCATTAATAATATTTTGTATTAAAAATTGTCTGATCACATGACTATAAACCTCACTTTTTAAATCAATATTTTTAATGAAATCAGTCCTCAACGTTCTCAAGTAAAATTACATTAATGGAACACAGAATATTACGATGACTGAAGAAACATAAAAAATACCTTACATCAAGAAAAGGTCTGTTTGACTTTCCTGAATTATATCGTTACGTCCCACAGACTGCTGAATCCTTCCATATGTTACAGCTGCTGCATCTAGATTACAGTCTAGATCTATATTCACATAAATACAATATTTACCATTGTATATTTGTATTCAATATCTATGTAATAACGTATTCCATATTATGAAGTCCTACATACGAGAACAAAACAAATCTGCCAGCTGCCATTCCTTCCTGTCTGGGGTATATTCCCAGAAACAAAAACAAAACGTCAGCGAAAACCAATTAAATAGATGCACATCTATTTCTTTAAACATCCAGGATCACATAGTCATTTTCTCTAGGGGTTCGTAAAGATCAACCACCCGTTGAACCTCGTTTTTATGCGCTCGGCTTTTTATAACGCGCAAATTGTGTGCCATAAAGCTCCATACAGCGCAGATATTGAAAACATCAAAGGAAATCAGGCAGCGCTCAATCGAATGTTGTGTGCAGTTTTACCCACGTGGGCAAGGAAACACGATGATGCAATGATGATGAAACGAAAAACAGGACGTCTAACAGTGACGATCTTGTACAACACGTATTGGTTAAACATAAAGAGTTTGTCAATATAAAAATAATATACTTACTGATACATAGAGCAGCCAGTAGACTGACCGCTGTGTCCGGCGGTCCGCAATCTGGAAAAGCTGGTTGAAGGATGTAGTTTGCAAAAGTCATTGCCGTAATGGCATTGCCGGTTGGAATGATAATAACTATGGCAACCCATAGATAAAGAAATGCCGGCATGTCACCGAATGCCTCAAAGATATAAGAATAATCAGCTCCAGACTTCAAAATGCTTGTTCCAAGTTCGGCATAACAAATGGCACCGATCAGGCAAATAACACCACACAGTCCCCAAATGATGAGTGAACTGCCGAGAGATCCTGCTTCCAGTAACACCCCCTTTGGAGACACGAATATCCCACTGCCGATGATAATTCCAACAATAATAGCCACTCCATTAAAAAGTCCCAGTTGTTTTTTAAGTTGAACGCCTTGGTTGGTACCATTCTCAACTTCGACTTTAGGTTCCTCGTCTATGACTTCGTATTCGTCACCCATGTTGATGGTACTACAGAAGTGGCGATCGTTCACTGCTATCTCACGTTACCGGTTTCGCTGATAAACAGACGCACGTTGGTTACTGTTATGACAATGAAGCCGTGCCGACTGTGACCACCCCGCTCTGTCCCCCAGTCATATAGCCCCTCTCTGTTCCATTCACATCTGTTGTCTGACGCGGGAATGCCAGCATGCTTCCGGTTGTTTTGATCGTATACCAAATCACGTGACCACGGCTGAGGGCGTCCCTCTTTTCAGCGCGCGACATTTGACATTTGTTAATCCTCAAAAATCTTCCGAAACATAGTATTTTTCGTCATATTCATGCGCGTGGTCGTACCAGTAACAAATAATTTCTGTGCTTAATCATTACTCGACACACAACAAGTTAAATTATGTCCGAATATGTCAAAGGGTTTGTTAACCCGTTTAAATAACGGTAGTTTAGTTGAATCATAGTGAGTGACTATGGTTTTACGCCGCTTTTAGCAATAATTAAGCAATATCACGAAGGGGTGGGGGACACCAGAACTATGTTACATACATTGTACCTATTTGGGGAATCGACCGCCTCCGTGGTGTAGTTGTTAGAGCGTCCGCCCAGAGAGCGGAAGGTCGCGGGTTCGATCCCCGACCGCGTCATACCAAAAGACGTTAAAATAGGGTACTTGTTGGTCCCTGCCTGGCGCTCGGCATTAATGGGTACAACAAGGACTGGTCGGCTCGGAGTCAGTATAATGTGTCTGAGTGGGGTATTCATGCTTCACTGCGGCATGGTATCTCAGTGAGCTAGCACTATAAAACCAGCTTACGTCTGGGCTAGTACAAGCAGCCGCACATACACATACACACGCATGCACGTCGTCATATGAGCGAAATATTCTCAAGCACGACGTTAAACCCAATTTCACCTCACCTCACCTATTTGGGGAATCGAACCAGAGTCGGCGGCTTCTAACACTAGGCTATCCCGTCACCCATTTGAATCAGAACGAGTCCGGAGTTGGGAGAAAGGCCCAAAGTGCCGCTCGACGTTTATTTACGAAACAATAAGAGTGAGTGATTTTGTGATTTTGGTCTTATGTCGCTTTTTTTTTTACGAGATAGAATATAGTGGCCACGCTTTTACATTGAACTTTCTCGACACTTACTTATATAAATATATTCTTTTATTAATTATCAGAAAGAGATGATTGATAAGAATATTCTTATCGGGGTCTCCAAGAATAATCGCCCTGTCAGAGATATTGATGTCTTTATTTGTACTAGAATTATACCAGTTAGTGAAGCTAGTCAAAAGTGCAGTCAATTTATGACCCAAAAAAAGAAAATATGTTCTATTGTTTCACGTTCAGTTCACGTGCAAAAACTGCAAAAATCATTATCTGTGTGACCAATTCTAAACAGGAAAGAATTGGTTGTTAAAATTCAACTTAAAAGTTTAGATTGGAAATGTCGTAGTTTGTTTTCTGCAGTACATAACTGATTAATTTTAAAGGAGCTGGAAAGATTATCTTCAGCTACAGGCATATTCAATTTTATTTCCCATTTATTACTAAGTTCAAAGAGATTATTTTGTACATCTTCACATATCTGGCGGTAAATAAACTTAGCATCTTAATGGAAATCAAGTTATTGATTAGACTTTTTGAGACTCCGAACATTCTTTGTGCTCATTTCTAAGATAGGTTCGCATCTTTTCTTATGCCGCTTCTAGCAATATCACGGCGGGGCACACTAAAAATGGGCTTCACACATTGTACCCATGTGGGGAATAGAACCCGGGTCTTCGGCGTGACAAGCGAACGCTTTAACCACTAGGCTACCCCACAGCTAGGCCCGTGGACAATGAGAGCGATGCTACTAGTGTTGTTTAGTTTTACACCGTTTTGTATCTATCAGTTTTTTAAGAAGCACCCTGTGAATTATGTTTTGGTGATTTTTGCATTTTTTAAGAATAATGCTGTTGCTTTCAACATGGTCATGCGTTCGTGGAGTGATCAACATAACCACCGATGTGCACACTTTGCGGATCAACACTGTCTAAACACTGGTTTTCGTTCACACCTCCCAAAATGTTATGAAATCAATTGTTAAATCCAGGTGTGAACAGTTTAATAAATGCCTCTTTTTCCTGATAGTTTCCCTGTATAAACACAGACATTGAAATTGCCCTTTTCCTACAAGAAGACAATCATCATTTTGACTGACTGACTTTGTTTGGTTTTACGCCGGTTTTAGCAATATTCCAGCAACATCACGGCGGGGGACACCAGAAATGGGCTTCACACATTGTACCCATGTGGGTAATCGAACCCGGGTCTTCGGCGTGACGAGCCAACGCTTTAACCATTAGGCTACCCCACCGCCCCATCATCATTCTGCTTGCCCCGGAATGACACAAGGGACCATGAATTACCTAATGACTGAACGAGGCCATTTTTGGATTCGAAGTAGGTCGGCAGTGAATCACCCACTTTTGAAGCATAAATCGGTTCATGGAGGAAGTGGTCAAATGAAGAGGACGCAGTCATTGTGGCCCTGTCGCCTATGACGTCACAATTCGATGCACAGTTATAATATATATATATATATAGACGTCACTGAAACTTATCATCATGGGTTCGAATCCTAGATCTCCGGTTACGCTTCTAGTTACGTCTCCCCACATGGGTACAATGTGTGAAGCCCATTTCTGGTGTCCCCCGCCGTGATGTTGCTGGAATATTGCTAAAAGCGGCGTAAAACCAAACTCAGTCAGTCAGTCTAGTTACGTCATTACCGTACAATGTCTGTGGGTTCCACCAAAGTGAGACCTGCAGCATTTAGGGACTTCCTGTAACATCAAGCTGACACGCCCTGGTGGAACTGAAATACTATTCAGTTCACTCACTCACTCACTCACTCAACATATTCAGAAGAGGAAGTGGTAAAGATGTGTACACTGATTTAGTTTAGAAACATTCACTATAGTGTTGGTTATGATAATGAGGAAATGGCATTTATACGAATCAATGCAGATTTAACGAGTATTAACGCACGTTGCTGGTCAATAGGTTTAATTTAACAAAGTCATGGAAACCATTTCACACGTCTAAAGGCCTGTTTACACGGCGAAAATATACACATGTGCAAATTTGCATACATGAGTAAATCTACATAGGGTGTGCAATTTGCTAGGGTGTGCAATTTGATGTGCGTTCATACGAACTTTAAGTTCTTTAAGCAAAGTGGTAGTAAATATTGATAATAGTTCATTTCTGCCCTAGCAATGGATGGAGTAAGATTTGAGATGTCAAGAAAGTATAGGCATTTCCCGGTGATCAATAGTCAGACACCCCACAAGTTACACAGTAGAGTTGGGGTGGACCAAGCGCTCACCTACATTGATAATGGAACAGTCCTAAATAGGCCTAAATGGCCTATCTCTTGCACAATAAGATCAAACTCCCATAGGTCAGCCTTGACTATTAAAGTTTAATTCCTTTTAATTGATCTACCCACATGATATTAAGAGTCTTCTTGTGCATATAGTTGATAGTGTGAGTAATTGATCAATAAAAAATGAGATAAAAAAATTTGAGACAGACTTCTCAACTCAGGTTTTCCAAAATGTCTGTACTGCTCAATAATGGCAGGTTTGCAGAAAGTTCATCACATCGCAGAGAGGCACGATTCAGATGCTCTTTGCTTCTTCAGCACCCCACGCTTGTCGTACGAGGTGACTAACGGGATCGGGTTGTCAGACTCGCCCACTTGGTTGACACATGTCATCGTATCCCAACTGCGTAGATCGATGCTCATGCTGTTGATCACTGGATTGTCTGGCCCAGGCTCGATTAATTACAGACCACACCATATAGCTGTAATATTGCTGGTAAACACCATAAACTCCACAATTCGATAAATATGCAAATGAGGGCATCAAGCCGGAACTGCTCTTCATTTGCTCCATACACCGAACAGATACCTCTTTGAATAACGTTCTATATACAGCCCAGATAAGGTTTCCGATCGTTTGCAATTTCATATAAAAAAACAACATGCATGGGTGCAAATCATTCTAATCACCCCCAGGCAATGTATTTCACACTAAATGGCTGATAATTAGACAAAAATGCAATCAGCTGATCAGAGGGAGAAAGCCATATGTTTAGAGAGAGGTGGAACCGGTAGGGAGGAGCCAGAATTTGCAGGGCGTAGTTCCGGTTCTTACGTCCCCGAAACCTGTGTTTATGGGTTCGAATCCCGGACTCGCTGTGAATATGCTTGTAGGTCTGTCAGCACCATGCCCGTCTAGAGGTAAATGTCTATACACTCTGTCACTTCCGGCTATCCTCAAACTGCAACCTGAGAAACTGTGAAATACGGTATGCCCCAGTTGCATTAAACCAAACGCACTCACTCACTCTGCTGTAGAGTGTATATAGACGCAGTAGACACTACTGCCATGCAAAAAAATTAACGTGCACCTTTTCTTACTAAAAACCAAGCAATTACAGCAAGCATCACCCTCTCGTATAGCCTCGTACCCGTTAAGATCCGGGTTAGAATTGATCTTCAGTAACCCATGCTTGTCGTAAGTTGCGATTAGCCTAAAATCACGGTTTGTCGACAAAAGTTGACCCTGTTTTGACAGAACGTGAAATGATTGATTAAAACAATTGAATAATGTCTTGAATAGATAAACAATTAGATAGTTTGACCGTGAATCTTAATGTGGGCAATATGGACTAGAATTGATCATCAGTACCCCATGTTTGTCGTAAGAGGCGACTAAAGGGATCGGGTGATCAGACTCACTCACTCACTCACCAATTTCCGGCGTCAAATGATATTGCTGGAATATTTCTTTCAGCAGTGTAAAATCCAACTCACCCTATTACCCGTAAAGATCACCTTCATTCTGTTGTAAACCACTCGCGTGCTTGGATAAATTCCTCTATAAAGCAGAGTAGAATCTGCCATTTGCTGTGTGACATCACGGATGGTCTATGATTATATATATTTTTTAGAACATAGAGAAAATATTCAGGCTTATAATTATGGTTTTATAACTTGATTACCACAGAATTCCTGTTTCATCATTAAGCTTGTGGGTGACACCGACAAGGATTGACTCACTATTAATCCCTGAATTAAATAATATTTTGAGAAACAAAAAACTCGATTTACATTGACAAT